TTTGTCAAGTACATCGGAGAGACGGCTGTCAGAGCACAATGTGGGTCTTCAGCGCTGCTCTGTGTGTGGTTGTTTCCTTGCTGTGGCTACGTCTCTGCGTTTCCAGAAGAAATGGGACCGAGATCAAAAATGAAAGCGCCACAGATGTGGAGGTACCGAAGTCCTGTTTATTTACTGATCTGTGTGAATTTGTTATATGACAATCATTCCTTTGATGAAGAACACAGTAGTCAAAACTTGATTTAGCTGGAAATGTACAGCAAACTAACCAATACAATGATTAATAATATGAAGACTATGTCATTTTTGCATGTGGCAAGTTGGTGTTTTATCAAGTACATCAGAGGGACTGTCAGAACACATGTGGGTCTTCAGCGCTGCTCTGTGTGTGGTTGTTTTCTTGCTGGTGGCTACATCTCTGGGTTTCCAAAAGAAATGGGACCGAGAGCAAAAAAGAAAGCGACACGGATGGGGAGGTACCTAAGTCCTATTTATTTGACGATCTGACTGTGTAAATTTGTTATATGACAATCATTCCTTTGTGTTGCAGATGATTCATGTTGGGAGGGCACTGGCATGATCGTGTTTGATGTGGAGCAATGGGCTTCCTGTCCTGAGACTAATGTGTAACATGGTTTGGAAAGGCATTCTGGGTTGATACGACTAACTTATGTAATTCTTATTAATTGTGATTGACTGGAAGTGATTCAGTTTCATTTCAGAGGATGAATCCGCTTGAGCTGGTACAGACTTCTTTCGAAGCCACTGGTTTATACTTTTCTTTCATTGAATATTCTCCTTTTTCCATACAATCGGCTAAACAAAAGACCTTCAACTGCATACAATTGAATAAAGCAGGTCAAAGAATATAAATGTATCTATTTTCAAAATATAGAGATAAACAGCTCAGGCACTCTTTCTTAGTAAGTATTTAGACATGTTACACACACTCTTGCTGTACCATTTTAAACATCTACATTTTTAGACCATGATAAATATCTACAACATGCTGTTGTTGGGAAAGAGCTCAAAACAACTTTCATAACTTTACCTGTTAACCCTGTTGGAGCACAAATGCAGATTAGTTACTGTATTAGTCATATATTCCCGTCATGTCATTCTCTCTATTATCCATTAAGAGGTGGTGTTGAGACTAAATATAATTAAAATATATTCAGCAGCACTGAATGTGGCATAAAGACAATTTTAACACCACATTTTCTTATATAAACATACTTACCTTTTAATCACTGTGTAATAGTTTCACTATTGTATCAAATTCAAAGACCTAAGGGAGAAAGAATTCTAAACTGTATTGTACATACATATATATATATATATATATATAT